TTTTTTTTGGCAGAACCAGGGATTGAACTCAGGCTCTTGCGTTTGCCAGGGAAGCGCTTATTCTGCTGAGCCATCTCCCCAGGTACCCTGCTTCTATTTTTAATTGTGTCTTTGCTCTCTTGATTCAATTTTGTACAGTTTCTTTGTGACATAGTGTCTTCAATTTGCTATGGATTGGTCTTTGGATTCTAGGAATAAAATATATTCTTTCAGCTTAGAGAATGTAAAATATCCTGTACTTTGATAGGAACATGTCTGTGAGATTGACAGTGCTTTGTTATTTAGATGATATTTACCATGACCCTTTAGAATGAATTTTGCTACTGTTTCTGTTTTGCAAATAGATATGTTGTGTTTTAAGAAGTGAATCGATTGAACCTAAATCAGAATGCAAACTGATGCCATGACTGCTATGTGACAGTGCTTGTTCATGTTTTATTCTGAGGTACATGGCCCCTACCTGTGTAGCTATATATGCAAAAGGAAAGCAAAGAAGCTCACACACACACACACACACACACATAATACTGAAAAAATGAAAAGAAACCACAAAAATTCATGCCATATAAAAAGTAGGATATACTAAAATGTAAATGTCCTTAGGATAAGGTAGATATAGTGAAAAAAAATTGTTAATTGAAGGAGAAAATAATCTTCTTTCCTGGCAGAAAATGGAAAATTTATAACTTGAGAGTCAAAGAAATTATATATTTGTTGGCTAGAAAATATGAATTAATGGGTAGAGAGTGATGCAGATCCAAGAGTAGAAGATTAAAAACAATAACAGCTGAGAGATTATACAACAGTTAAAAATAAAGTTAGCTTTGTAGGTCAAACATTATCAAATATTGACAATTTCATAAGTTTCAACTGAACTATTTTAAGGAACAATCAACATTATTTGACTTTGTAGATAAACACAAGAAGAAAAATAATAATTTTTCTATTAATCACTTTGCACAATATATTTTCTATGATATTTTCTCATAATAGTAATTTTTTCACAAAACATAATATTTTACACAAACTTCAGATATGGACTTTATTCATTGTTTTGACAGCTAGTCTAAGAAACTTCTGTCACAATAATATTTGGAACAAGCAATGCATTTGCATTTGCTTTCTTCCTGCTGAGGAGGAAGCAATGAAATATGCTCTGAGATTCAGTCTATAAAAATTGTTGAATATTGTAAAGCATAACTGGAATTCTAAATTAATGAGTCAATGTAGAGACACTCAGAATTAATGTATAAAATGATCAGTTTCTTGAAAGGCACTTCATACACTATTTCATGAAATGTCCTCATGTATTGAGAAGTAAAAAATCATTAGAGTACAAATTGTAATAAACAGATTAAAGGACTCTTTCAATCTTCTACTGTTTAATTTAGTTTTTCATAATATGTATTTCTCACATTAGGCCTAAGAAGCAAACAGTGTCCCACAGTTAAGAAACTTATATTAACAAACATAAGTATCAATTTTATACCACTCTACTAAGAAAAGTGATTGCAATATAGAACTGCTTTGCCAAAATAAATCTATAAAATTAACATTGTTGTTGAAAATCCTCAAAAATTCAGTGAATTAATAAACCTACAGATTTTGAGCAAAGAAAATATCAAGGTTGTAGCCTCCCCACTGTTTTAAATAACATATTAGGAAAAAAATTGGAGAAATTCAAGACTACAATAGAGTATTTTAGTCCTGTACAATACTACAGCAATGTAATATTCCTAAATTATATTCCTATAATTTTTGCTACATTTTAATGGAAATATACTATTATTTAGTTAAAAATTATAAATTCCTAATTTTTATATAATATTGCCTGCTTTCCTGGAATTTTTATGATGAATATCTAATTCAGATCCCACATCTATGGACTGAGAAGTTATTTCTCTGGTGCTCAGAGCACATCAAGCTCGGGGCCAGCCATGCTGGTTCTCTGATACTGTTGTTCCCATTTTAGTGGAGTAGAGCAAGAGGCAGAGCTTTCCATGGAAATAATGTTGAAGAATTAAGACTGGAGATACACTTCAAACAGTCTGTAAAAGCTGTGTGCAGTTACTCCCATCTGTAATCACAGTACATCAGGGAGGCACAGGCAAGATCGTCACAAGTTCAAGGCCAGCCTGGGCTGCATAGTGAAATCATGTCTCACAACATACATACACAAAATGAACAAAAATAAACTAAATAAATAGTGTGCAATAGGTTTACTGGACAAAATACCTAAAATACCAATATTTTACCAAACCACCAAATCAAGGTGGCTATGGTGGCTCCAGCAGCAGCAGTAGCTAAGGCAGTGGCAGAAGGTTTTAAACACTTCCAGGAAACAAAGCTTAACAGGAGAGGAGAGCCAGTGAAGCGACAGGGAAGCTACAG